TTGTTGAGGCGTAACTAATATCGCCTAGATTTCGGATTCGGATTGGGCGTAATAATCAGGTTTCGCCCGAACCTTTAGTACTGGTTCTATAAAGAAGACATTATTATTATATATTATAGATACGAACGAATTCAGAGAATTTTGAAATTTGTATTGCGGTACCGATCTGCATCACAAATTTAAAATTATTTTCCAAGTAATAATAAAAATAATTTAATAAAGAAAAAAGCATTGCTACTTAAAATTAAATAAATAATTTAAATACAAAAGTAATAATGTTGAACAGGTTGCATTAATAAAAAAAACGATCTTTGAAATAGAAAGGCTGTCATAAGTAAGTTATTAATTCACTTATGTGAATCCAGTCACGTGACTAGTACGAAAGAATCGTACGTACAAATTCACAGATTAAGGCCGTTCAAGACTTTCCATATTGGGATGTCAACAAAATGGATCATCAAAATTAAGTCACGCGATTTATTATTATTTATTTGGCGTTAAAAGATCCGCAATATAATAAGTTGGCTAATTGAATCTATCATATCAAAAAAAAGAATTTTCATTGTGTTTTATGTGTTCCATGCTAGCCAATAATATATTCAATTTAATTCAACTTGCATGATAAACAATATGTTATTTCGAGATCTAAGATGAAAATGTCACACTAATCCTTTCATCATAAATAATTACACAATGTACAATCTGTCTGTTAAACAACATCTTAATATCTAAACAAATTGATCATTTGATTGTACGAAGAAAAAAAAAAATAGTTCTTTTTTTAATAATAAAATCCTTTAAATATATTTTATTAAAAAAATAAAACTTCCCGAATCATTAATTTGTCAAGGGTGTATGTAATACTTGAAAAATTTTAAATTATTTTTCATTAATAAACTTTTCCTATTTCGCCTTTTGACGCCATGAAGCAATTATCATTAATTTCAAGTTTCTTGTTTCTTTTTCTGACGCTCATATCAATTCCGTTGAATTCAGCACAATGTATTGACCAACCTGATCCAACTCAACCAAGTAAGAAACTGGCATCAAAGTGTTCAATGGTAAAAAAGCAGCCGATGAAAAATTTACATTATAAAGTACAAAACGACACAAATATGTTTATTATTCAGCTCAATTGCACAATTCAAGATCCAATTCGATGTGAAAAAGTAAAATCCTCTTTCGAAGAAGCAGGTCGTATAATATCATCAACTTTAATATTAAATACACCAATTTTAATCAATGCAATGTTTCATAGTATGGAAAGTCCTAAAATTTTAGGAGCCGCTGGACCTTTCAGATCAATGCCAATGAAAGATGATGATGGATTTGAAAGATTGTATCCACAATCTTTGGTTAAACAATTTCAACTAGACGTGCATCCTGAATTTGCTCCTGTTGATATTGTTGCCGACTTCAATTCATTGGTTCCATTTTGGTTCGAAGGTGACCCTCCGATCACCAGTATACAAACTGGGTTCTTGGAATTAATTTTACATGAATTGATGCATGGGCTTGGATTTGCTTCGGCTTGGAATGATTATATTAATGACGACGTTGTTGTAGCTGCTACTCCTGAAATTGTTGGTCTTACAACCGAAACTACGTTACCAGATTCGAGTGCAAAGTTTGTCTTTAATGGATTTCAAGAAAGAGTTCTCGACAAATATTTATTCCTATTGCCAGAAAATAAATCGACCTCATCTTACGCAAGCGAACTAAACAAATTTGCTGAATTTGGAACGACCTATGAAAATGTTTCCGTATTCTTGAACCAATTTGTTACCTCACCGCAATATTTAGTTGCCAAGGAAATCTTTGGTTATTTCATAATTCCTAAAGATCTCGTTTTCAAACCGAGCGTTAGCGATAAAGAAGAGGATATGACTTTTTTAGAAACTTCTCTAAATCCTTTTCTACCAGGTACAGTAAATATGCATTATGATTGCTTATATATATTAAGATATTCACATCAAACCTCAAACCATCAATCTTTCCAGGTTCTAGCATTTCTCATGTTGATAGTAAGACGTATACAAACACTAGCGAATTTTTGATGACTTTTTCTCAAGAAAATGGTCGAACTCTCAATGACAACATTCGAATAGGTGGAAATTATTCAGGAGGAGCTATAGGTTATAAACTCCGTCTAATTCTAGAAAGCTTAGGGTATAAAATTAAATTAATTTCGACACTTTTGAAATAATCAAAAAGTTGTTAACATGATATTTAAATGTTTGTTTTTTTTAGGTATGCTACAAATGAGAACCCTAACCCGTATAAATCATTCCCAATTGAAGAATATGCCGTATCTTCGTCAGTGAATAATTTTTCATATAAATTGTATCATACATTCGTGATTGGAATCATGATAATCATGATCAACTGTTTGTAAAGACTGTAATAAGTATTTCTTACATGGAAATATTGGAATTATAGTGATGTTAAACACTGCTCTTAAGCAATTGTTTTGATTTTTATTCATGTTATTTATACCACTTGAAAGAAATAATTTTTCAGTGGATTATTTATTTTGTAAATGTAAATGAATTATTTTATTTATTTCTCATTTAATGGATTTGCATAACGGATTTTTATAATTTTGAAATGACGTCGGACCATTACAATTTACTTTGCAATATGAATTTTTATTGAATGGATCTTATTGCAAGCCACAAGTGATTTAGCAAGTATGTTTATAAGAAAACTTAATGCATTGTCGTTTACAAGCACAAAATCAATAAAATTACTTTTCAAAATATTTAATTGAAGATTCATGATGATTAGTTTATTATCTTGTTCGTAAAAGGCTACCAAGTCCGATCTAAAAATGTACAAGAAGGAAATATCAAAAGATTAATCAAATTCAGATTGGCTTGAATTTTATGGGGTGTAGTTATTTCTCAATATGATAAAATTTACTAATAAATAATTCAGAATGGTGTGATATTTTGCAAGAACCTGGCTTATTTTCTACATCATTTTTCTATATTGATCTTATTATTCTTAAAGTTATATAACCAAAAGAAATATTAATATAGTTTATCAATCCTGCAAAACTTTTCGTTTTATAAATATATTGACTAGGCAAATATATTAACAATTTGAGGTTACGGGGCAAAACTCTTTGGTTTCAATGGTTCACGTGAAAACTATAATATATTTCGAAAGTCATCAAGAAACCCCTCGTGGGTCGAAATCAAAACGTAAGAAGGACATCGACCTTTGCCAATTACTAAATGAGCTTTTACCCGCAATTATTCTAAGTTCGTATTAATAAACTTAATAAAGATTTTAATTTTTTTTTTTATAATAACGATAACGAAACGATACGGTAATATGTATTAGATTTTTTTATACATGGATGACGCAATATACAGTGTTTTCAAGGCAAAAATTCATAAATGGTGGAATTGGGATTAATAAACTAGGAACGCAAGTCTCTCCATAAATAAATATTTAGGCTAAATATAACTCAACGATATTTATTGGTAAAATATTAATTCGTCAGATAAATACTGTTTAAATATATAATATCTATACTTCAATCAATGTCTCACCAATACAAACTTGAGTGAATCTGAATATTAGATTATTAAATTAATTTGAACGATTCAAGTCCGAATTGTTGTAACTTCCAACGTGTTGCGCCACATAATTTTTTTGGTGCTGAAAAGTTAATAGTTTTAATATAAAGATATTGCATTAGATGGTCAAGTAGACTCCAAAAGTATATGAGAGGTTTGTTATTAAAATCGAGTTACGAACATATTAAATCATATGATCCGTAACGTGATTTTAATAGGATTTTTCGGTATGTCTCTGTATTTAATCGATGCAAATAATTAATAAATTTGTTAAATTTGTTGAAATATTCATATTACATTAAAATAAACTTATAATTTCGGTGTATCATACTGGTTAACAACATTACAGTTAATTTCAAAAGTCACGGGGCAGCCGATTATATCCCGGTGTTAGTGATAATCCGTTTGCGTCACTAGATGACTGCGCCAAATAATGTCACCAATGATCACTAGGAAAAGCGTGATCATCATTTTCACTAATTTCATTGCTATCACGGTTATCGTTGTTTTATTTACTATCATGTTTATCATTATTTTATTTAATATATTTATTTTCATAGTTATATTTAATTTCACTATTATA